AGAGTATCAGGAACACTAGAGGGGAGAAGGAAGGAGAGAAACAGGAAAATAAGGCATATGATGTTGAATAGTATCCTCCCAAATTCATATCGACCCAGAACTTCAGTATGTGACCTTATTTGGAATTAGGATCTTTGGCGAGATAATTAAGAGGTGGTCACACTGTACTGGTATGGGCTCTAATCCAGTGACTGCTGTCCTTATAATACACACACACACACACACACACACACACACACACACACGGAAGAATGCCATGTGAAGATGGAGGCGGGCATTGGAGTGATGCTGTGAAAGGCAAGAATGGCCAGCACCCACCAGAGGCTGGAAAAGGCAAGGAAGGATCCCCACTAAAGCCTTCAGACAGAGCATAGCCCTGCTGATGCACTGGTTTCAGACTTCTAGCCCCCAGAACTATGAGAATAAATTTCTGCTGTGTGAGACCACTAGTTTGTGGTACTTCATAACAGCAGCCCTCAGAAATAATAGAAGGGGGGTAGGGTGGAGGCCAAGAGGCAGAGAAGGCTAATGGGCTCCGAGGGGCCGTTGTGAGGACTAAGTAGTTAATCAGATGTGTTCACTAAACCAGAATTTATGCAGTGCTTGCTCCATCCCATGTTTTATAAAAGGAACTAAGAAAGCTCTTTCTCCCCCAGCCTGTGTTGTTCCATTAGTACTGGGGTGTGGATATTTCTGCCCAGTTGCCTCTAGGTTTCCAGACTTGGTGGAGTGGGTTGCAAAGTGTCTCCCTGCAGGCTCTTCCACTGGAAGCTTGTGGGGAGAGGGGTACTCTTGGGCAGGGGGCCCTGGCTTATTATCTCAGCAGCTACAGGGGTTGAGCCAACAAACTCTGGCTCCTGCCGGGGCGGGCCCCTGCTGTCTGCTTTCCAACTGGGTGTCTGCTCTTTGCTCTCTGATTCCCCCTCCTGTTTGGCCCTCTGGCCCCTGCCGGCTGGGTCACTGCCCCCTGGTATCCTCACTCTGAAGCCAGCAACCGTGCTGGGCCATTCACAGGCATAGCCTAGTGGGGGTGGGGGACAGATGTTAGTTCCTTGCCCCTCCCCAAAACACACACATATGCTCAATGTATACCAGTGTCCTGGGAAGGGGTCCAGGCAGAGAGAGTAATGGGAGGCTGCAGGCTCTAAGGGGATGTAAATGGACTGGGCGATGTGTGTGCGTGCGTACATGTGTGTGCGCGCGCGCATGTGCACACATGCACATACTGGGAAGACAGACAGTGGCGGTAATCGGTGTGAGATGTGGGAGTGGGGGGTTGTCCTCAGACTACCCTCCTGGGCAATTACATGCCAGCAGCTTCATCCACTACCAGCTGTCATGCAGGATTTGGACCACCAAGAAGCCTCCCATACAGTCCCCAGGTTGGTTGCTGAAAATTCCCAGCCACATTCTCTGGCCTATGTGCTGGCACGAGGCCAAATAAGTTGGCCTGGGGTAACTACTCTCTCCCTCAACACACACACACACACACACACACATACACACACACACACACACTTCCTCCTAGATACAATAACCCTGTCAGAACAAACTTCTTTCTCCACAGGCTCAACTTTCCCCATCCTCTCTGCCTGCTGCTACTCTCTCTTCTTGTCTGCTAACTTCCAAACCTCCCTTTCTCTTCCTTACCTTACACTTCCCTTTTAAAGTACAGACTATAGGGGTGCCTGGGTGGCTCAGTCAGTTGAGAGTTTGACTTCAGCTCATGATCTTAGGGTTTATGAGTTTGAGCCCCACCTTGGGCTCTGTGCTGTCAGCTCAGAGACTGCTTTGGATTTTTTGTCCCCTCTCTCTCTGCCCCTCCCCCCTCTCAGAAATGAATAAACATTAAAAAAAAATAAAGTGCAAACTGTATTGCTGATAAGACTCTGGAAAAGAAGTAGTCATCTGACACAGTAGAAGGGATGGGCCCAGAACTCAACTCTGATTCTTTCTTCAGCCTAAGGTGGAAACTTATAAATCAATTGACAGGACCCCTAGACATATAAATCAATGGAATGGACCCCTAGACAAGGGCCCTGTGATTACAGTGCACATACTCAGAGTGTTTTAGGCTCTACACAAGCACCCACAATTTACAAGTCAGGAAATGGGGATAGATGCAGTGAGTTATTTACTCTCCCTACATAAGAGGTAGAAGCCAGAGTTTGGTATTTTGTGGGAGGGGAGGGGCGGCCAGTGAGGAGACAAATAGGCAAACTTCTTCTAGGATGGCCTCTGGGAACAGCCCAGAGAAAAGTTGAACTTGAAAACGTGCAGGACCAGTTTTCAGGCCGCTCCACTTACTTTAAGGAAAGAAATGAGGGGAAAGAGTGGGCTGCAGAACTGGAAGCTGTGACCCCTGCTGGGCCTTCTATGTCTTCTCTCTGCCCCACCCTCCACCAGACTCAGGGCTCTAGGAACACTCGGGCAGGGGAAGGGAACTTAGACTTGGGAGGTATTTGTTCTCCAGTATACCCCCAGTTGAGTATCTACCAGCTTTTGTCATTAGGTCTGAGTTGGTTTAATGGGAGACTATTCTGAAGATAAAGAGAATACAAAGCACGGAAAGGCCAGAGAGAAACAAGAAGAAAGGTGGGGATAGGAAAAAGAATGTACCACGAAGGGGTGGGGTGTAGAAGAGGAACAGGAGAGTCAGGCCAGGAGAGTCCCGGAAAGGAGAGTGGCCCCACTGTTTGTCAAACCTCCAAATCAGGATGACAGGGATTAGGAAGCATCCTCACCCATGGGCTGAATTGTTGCCTCTGCTCAGGGAACCCTGAGCAAATACGCCCTGATCCCCACATAAAGGGCCAATTAACTGTGCCGTCTCTGGGAACAAATCCGTTAACAGGGTGACAAGCCCCTAGACGCTGGCAGGCACTGTGTTTGCGAGAGAGGCCGACAGGGAGCAAATCAGGGGATTAGGATGGAGCAGGAGCCACATGGTGGGATGCAGTTTCCTGTCTGTTGCTACCCTCCACACCCCACAGCAGGGCCAGGTGCCAGGACCCTGGATTTCTGTCCTGCTTTAGCCCTAGTGTGAGGGAACCTGGGTGACCCCAGTCAGCAGGAGGTAGAGCAGGGAGCTGCAGATGAAAATCTGAAGCACCAGAGCAGAGAAAATAGTACAATTTTTCCTTAACAGATGAGGAAATTAAAGTTCAGAGCGGCGATGTCTTCTAATTGGCAAATATGGGATTGGAACGCATTTCTGGGCTGGTCATTCCTGAGCAGATTAATTTCTGGTGAAGGAAACCTATCCCTTAGAATCCTTCTTACCTGAAAGCAGCCTGGCCCTGGGGTAAGGGACAGACGTCAAATCCCATCTTTTAGTATCCTGGTGCTTTAGAGAGAATGTGTCGCCACCCCCTCTCTCATCTCTACCCCAACTCATTAGACTTATAGTCTTCAGGTTTAAACCGTTTGTGGGGCGTCAGACCCCAAGTTCAGCACAGGCAGAGGAGGTGCTGAAAGAACAGCTCCCAGGGCGCTGCCTTCCACAGTGCTATCTCTGCCCCCAACCTCCCCTTTCCTCTTCCCCCTCCCCAGCACTTTTGCTTCCGGCTTTGCTAAATTCCCGGTAAAGCTGACTCGAGTGGATAGGAAGACACCCAAACATCGGTTAGTTGGTTAGCAAGCGTGTGGACTGAGCGTGTGGACTGACAGTCAAAAGTCTCTGGTTCACCTGAGCGCTGCCTGCCCAAATACTCCAACTCTTGAATGTGCTTACTGTGGGCTCTACGATCAGATAGCAGCCACCTCTCTGGATCTGGACCTTTTCATCTAGCGCCTCCCAGGTCAGAAGCAACCACCCCACTAAGGTGATCTCATCATACAGAAACTGATGACTGAGCTAGAACCCCACCGCTCAGCCATCAACACGATGTTGCTCCAGATAGGAAGTGCCGGGTCTCCCCTTGACACCCTAATGCTATCTCCAGCCTAGGAAAGTGAACCAGTGAGTGTGTGTGTACATGCGCCAGTGGACGGGTGGGTGGATGGGCGGTGGGGGACTCGATCTTCAGGTAAAAAGAACTGCAGAAATCTCATAAGCAGTCTGGACGGAGGAGAGGGTATCATGGTTTCTCCCCACTGCTCCCCGTGGGAAGGACACACCGATATCGGATTTGAATGAATTTGCATGAGTTTTGCGTCAACCCCTTCTCTTTTCTTGCACTAGCCTTTACGGGAACAATGTTGCTCTCCTTTGTCTTTGTCCTGGACTATCTAGTTCCTTCAGTCTCCTCAAGAAGGTAAAACAATTTAACAGACAATGTCAGAGCACAGTAATGTAAAAGTATGCAAATAGATGCCAGAGGTATGCATACAGATGCTAAATGCCTGGGTTTCCTTGGGCTCTCCCCCTTCAGTTTTATTCTTGTCCTGAGTCTCCTGCAGGAAGTACTAGATTAGAGCGTCTGGAGCAGGATTCCGGTTCAAGACTCGGCACTTTGTCCCCTGGCCTCTCAGCTGCAAAACGGGCGACTGCGGGGTAAAGGCGTGGAAATGCCATGCAATTATCGTCCCCCTGCGTCCCCCCCCCCCCCCGCCCGTAACTACTGCTCCAAACCAGCACAGTGTCCAGCGCTTCGCTGCTAAGACGCGGGACTTGGGAGGAAATGAATGCCAGGGCTTCGATAGCTAGAGGAGTGTTCCTGCTCTTTTTACTAAGGGCGGGTAAAAGAGAGTTGGGATTCTTGTTTTAAAGTCAGTCAGAAGGGCAGAATCCGACAGAGCCTCACCCCTCATCTTGGCTGCCCTGAGAAAGGAGGAAACTCTCCTGCGGTGTCCAGAACCCCACCCGGGACACGGGGCGCGGGGCGGGGACTCCAACTCGCGCGCTACGCAACTCTAGTCTCTGGCCCTGCTAGTGGCCATCGGGGTGGGGATGGGAGGGTGGAGGGAGGCGGATTAATCCCTTAATTACGCTGTGATCGGCGTGGCACCTGCTTTCCGCCCGCCCAGCTCCCGGGGGACCCCGGCACTGGGGGGTGGAGAGAAGGACGAGCGAAGGAGGAGGGCGCGCGGAGGCACGCACCGTACCCAGGCGCGCCGGCGGGAGAGCGGCACCGTGGCTGGGGCAGTGCGCAGAGGCTGCCGAGGGGCTTACGGCTCCCGGCCCGCGGGTCTCAGACCCAGGGGCTGGGCCCCGAGCCCCCCGCCCCGGTCCCGGCTGGGTCGCGCCATGCTGCGCTACCTGCTCAAAACACTGCTGCAGATGAACTTGTTCGCGGACTCCCTGGCGGGGGACATTTCCAACTCCAGTGACCTGCTCTTCGGTTTCAACTCCACGGTAGCGGCGCTCAACCACAGCCTGCTGCCCCCCGGCGATCCCTCTTTCAACGGTAAGACCTTGCCCCGTGGGGACGTCGGATCAAGGGATGGAGTAAGGTGGGAGGGCGTCGTGGAAGGGGAGGCCAAAGCGCTCCTGCCACAGTACCTGGGACCTAGCGGCGCCTCCTAGCGCCTCCTCGGGGTTGGGGACCAAGGATAATTTGGAGCTTCTAGCACCTGAGTGGAGGTATCGGCGGAAGATCAAGGGCTTGGGAGGAGATGGCTGCTGAGTCCGTTGCTCCCCACCTGCCCCACCGATCGCCACTGCCACCCCATGGGGGGGGGGCGGGGCGAACCGTGGCTGGTGACCGCCAAGTACGGAGCTGAGAGTGGCTGGGACCCACTGCAGGGAGGGCAGAGGAGGGAACGCGGTGACCAAGCCGCCCCACTCAGCGACCCACCCAGGTAGCAAGTTTTCCTTCGAGACCCTAGGTTTTCCAAGAGCTCACTTAGGATTAGGGTGAGGAAGCTAAAATGTTGGATGTGTTTACTACAGAGGGCGACGGACGCTGAAGCCGTTTTAGGGAAACTCAGAAGTTTGCCGCTCAGAGGTGGAGCTCACCGCGGCCCACCCCGCAGAACGGCGGCGGGCTGGCTGCGCCGGCGGCGATGTCGTTACCGCTAATTACGGTGATTAATAAATGACTGAGACAGCGCGCTCGCCGCTAGCGCGGCGTGGAGGCGGCCGGAGTCGATCTCCGAGAGTCTGGGGAGAGGCCCGATCGCGCCCCCTTCCGGCCCGATCGCGCCCCCTTCCGGCCGTGTCGAGAATTCCCCGCTTTCCCGGACTTCCTGGCCGGTGATTCCCCCCGTGGTTCCTCCCCAGTCCCCATCCCTTGACATCCACCCACTCGAATCCAGGGGCAGCAAGGTCCTGGAAAGTCGAAGATGACGATAAAGGAGACCAGGACAACGTGTATGGCTTGTGTGTGGGGTACTCCAGGTGCTGGGGGAGGAGCCCCAGAGCTCCATTAGCATGATCATTAGCTATTCATTAGCTGCTGTCGGAGCATCTCCTGAGACCGGGAATGACAGGGAAGAAATTCCAGGGAAAGGGCGCCGGCAGCTGTGTCTACAGGAATTAGGGGGAAAGGGCCGACCAGAAGGGTGTGGTGTGTACACGAGGGAGCAGGAACGAAGAAAGTCGGAAATGAGCCAGAGGTCTCCACGTTCCTGACCCGCTGTAGATTCCCAGGAGGTTAAGCACAGACCCAGACACACCTCCGCCCCCCTCCCCGCCCCCCAAAGCTCTTACAGAATGTTTCCATCATACACTGTCTCATTCAAGCTGGAGAATGTAAGGAGGGTAGAGAAGGCACTGATGGCCACATTTTGCAAGTGAGGAAACAAATTTAGAAAAGATGAAAAGTACCCCAGTGGTCACAGAAGTAATGTAAAGCTTAGCAATAACAAACCTATTTCCATTACACTCTAATAATTTGTGAAAGGGAAGAAAGGAATATTGGGGCCTGCTAGAATCGGAGTTAGGTAGAGACTATAGTAGCCAAGATAAGGTAAGGTGGGCTAGGGAGGGAGAGCCCTCAAGTAATCACAGAATTGCCATATATAGTGAGCCCTCCCTCAATTGCTTTACATATATTATGGTCTGAAGACAACCCTGCCACTACTCCACATTTAAAATAAATAAACTGAGACTCAAACAAGCTCATCAATTTGCCCAAGTTCTTGCAGCTAGGAAGTGTCAAATCTGAGATCCCAGCCCTGCTTGGTTCCAGGACGACCCCTGAGTCTTCACCGCAGTCGTGTCCCTCAGGATGGAGGTCTGCCTAAACTGGACTGGGATGAGATGTGGGGGAAGAGATGACCGAGAAGCAGAGATTTCCATTTGGAAGGAAGGAAATGGAGAAAAATTACTCCCCTCCCTAAGTAGGAGGGACACTAATCTGGTTCTAGCCAGTTAACTAAACTCTCCCCGGGACAGTACCAGCATGGGGCAACCCCTCTCCGGCCTAGTCTCCATACGAACTTCTCAGACTAGGGGTGGGGAAATGAAACCCACTCTCACCCCAAACGCGGAGCTAGAGGTCCCTGCGGATTTGGGAACAGTGGGAGGGGTGAGGGCGGGGAAGGGTAAGGGAGAGAATAGAAGCGGGGACGGGGGGGGGGGGGGGGGGGGGGGGTAGTCCTGGTTATCGGAGGACACCAGATTACGTGAGGCAGCAGCGGCGCCTACTGGCCGCCATGGGTTACAAATCCACTTCCGACGAAGCTGAAGTGTCTGAGCCTAATGGATTCCAGGATCCTGGATCCCAAAGCATGTGCAGAGGATGAAGCCAGCAGAAGTCTGCAGGCCAAGTGAAAGGCAGGAAGAGAACATCTACGTGAAAGGATCTGATGAAACAAAGGAAGGAGAGGAATCCCCTTCCCAGTGGTTCTTAGCCTCTCTAAGTCACATCAACCGAGAGAATAATCTGTTGAAAACTTTGCACCTCTTAGAAAGGGAGCCGTTACTAACATTTCCACGACCATTTTCATTCAAGTCCTGTGATTTTTCAGGTTCTTCCAAGCATGATTTTCTAGGGTGTCAATAAGAGGGGCACCTGGCTGACTTAGTTGGGAGAGCACATGACTCTTGGTCTCAGGGTTGTGAGTTGGAGCCCCATATTGGGCATTGAGCTTATGTAATAAAAAACCTTTTTTTTTAAAGAAATGAAAAAAGAAGAAGGGCTCCATGTCCATTCATGGGCTCCAGGTTAAGAACCCCTTCTAGTCCAGGCTGTAGTTGGATCACTGTCGTGATCCTTTCCTAAGGGAGGGATTCGAGTCTCCTCCACATTCTCCATTTTTCTGGCCCCGTGACCATGCAGAGGCCAAGGACCGAGTGTTGGCTCTGGTGAACCGCTTCAGAGAGCAAGAACAATCTGAAAACCAGCGGGGGCGGAGACTGAATACCAGTGGGCTGGAGGGGCAACCCAGACTTGGCCCTGTCACTTAACCTTGGCCAGAGAGAAGACTAGTGTCTGTCTTTAGGCAGCCTAGAATGCCCGCTTAGGAGTTGGTGTCCTGATTCCTCTACTGATCTGCCTGTTTGTAAGGAGTATCCTCTCCAGCCCAAGAACGTGGTGGTGTCTTCCCAGAGGAGATAATGGACCCTACAGAGAAAGGGGGGACAGGGTGGGCAGGTGTGATTGTTTTTCTCTGTGGAGCCTCAATCTTTCCCCTAATTTCCCGGTCTAAATGCTCTGTGCCAACATCCCTACTCTCAGTGTCAAGGGTGGAGCCGGAGGATGCGATGCCGCGCATCGTGGAGCAGCCGCCGGATCTGTTGGTCTCCAGAGGCGAGCCCGCTACGCTGCCCTGCCGCGCGGAAGGCCGGCCGCGGCCCAACATCGAGTGGTACAAGAATGGGGCGCGAGTGGCCACCGCGCGAGAGGACCCGCGCGCGCACCGCCTGCTGCTGCCCAGCGGCGCCCTCTTCTTCCCGCGCATCGTTCACGGGCGCCGCGCGCGGCCCGACGAGGGTGTCTACACCTGCGTGGCGCGCAACTACCTGGGGGCAGCGGCTAGTAGAAATGCCTCGCTAGAAGTGGCGGGTGAGAGTCCACACTGTGCGCTGGTTGCTTCCACAGCCTAGGGGGAGGCGGGAAGGGAGGCACACCAGATAACCCGATCCAGAACCAACCCGGATCTCAGCCCCTTCAGCATCTTCTTTGGGAGACCTTGATCTTTGGTCTCTAACATCCATGCCTGGGCAGGAGGGAGGAAGTGGTCCTGGTATTTTCGCCCCTGGGCAAGAGTTCTGGTCTGCGGCGATACACCCCTCCCCCAAAACACTTGCTTTGTGTCTTAACCCAGTTACTCCTGTTTATTCCCTTGGTCATTCATTCCATCTCATTGTCTCTGTCTCTGTCCTTGCCTGTCTGTCTCTACAGTCCTCCGTGATGATTTCCGGCAGCCTCCTGGAAACGTGGTGGTGGCAGTGGGGGAGCCAGCGGTAATGGAATGCGTGCCCCCCCGTGGCCACCCGGAGCCTTCTGTGTCTTGGAAGAAGGACAGTGCAATAATCAAGGAGGAGGAGGGAAGGATCACGGTGAGGAGGGGTGCCCTGGCTGCGGTCTGACTAGGGGCCGGGGCCAGAGCCAGAGCCATGATGAGGGGCGGGGCCACGGGTTAGGGGGCTGGGCATATCTCAAAGGAGGAAGTCGTGAATTTCAGGGTCTTGGAGGAGGGAGGAATAATGTCTTAGGTGTGATAAGGCAGGAGATTTAAGGTCAGAGCGTTAGCTGACCAGACACTGAAAGCCAGCTATTAAGTAAGGGATCCAAGTTAAGGATGGATAGGACAGAACTGATATAAGTTAGGCGGGGAGCAAGATGCCCCAAGCACTCGTGGGAGGTGGTTTGGGCTGGGGGAAGAAATATAGACCTGAGCCCCACCTTGGGCAAATCACTTAAGGATTCCTTATCTGGTGAGTCAACTTTACTGGTTTTTATTGGCTTACTAGGAGGATCAAATAAATAAATATGCTTTGAAGGCTACAAAAGACCAAAGTTACCATTGTTTTTTTTTTTTTTTTAAATGTTTTATTTATTTCCAGGAGAGAGAGAGAGACAGCGTGAGCAGGGGAGGGTCAGAGAGAGAGGGAGTCACAGACTGAAACAGGCTCCAGGCTCTGAGCTGGCAGTCAGCACAGAGCCCGACGCGCAGGAATCGCGAGATCATGACCTAAGTGAAAGTCGGACGCCCAACCGACTAAGCCACCCAGGCGCCCCCAAAGTTACCATTGTTACTCTGCAGATTCGTGGAGGGAAGCTGATGATGTCACATACACTCAAGAGTGATGCAGGGATGTACGTGTGTGTGGCCTCCAACATGGCAGGAGAACGAGAGAGTGGGGCAGCCGAACTCGTGGTACTGGGTAGGCACAGGGACTTTGGGAATTATGGGGTGTGCAGCCTGGGCAGTACAAAGCTGTGTGATCCCCTCACTCCTGACCCACAGAGCGACCCTCATTCCTGCGTAGACCGGTGAATCAGGTGGTCCTGGCAGATGCCCCCGTGGATTTCCCATGTGAGGTGCAGGGAGATCCCCCACCTCGTCTACGCTGGCGCAAGGAAGATGGGGAACTGCCCACAGGCAGGTGAGAAGCCCCCTCCTCCTGCCTGTAAGGAGACCCAACCAGCTCAAGAGCACACCCTGCCCTACAGAAGGGGAAGGCAGACACCCTCTTACTTGACGAGAAATCTGTTTCCCCTCCCTCTCCCGTCCCCATCTCCTTTTATGGGTCCGTGGGTACCAGCCTCTGGCCCTGTTGAAGCCTAACTTGTCTTTATGTACCCTGATCCTGGTGTCTGTCTGGGGGAGAGAGAAGGGGTCTGTAGCTGTCGCCAACCCAGCCTGGGGGTGGGGAGTGGAGCAGGTATGAGATCCGGAGTGACCACAGCCTTTGGATCGGGCGTGTGAGTGCCGACGATGAGGGGACGTACACCTGTGTGGCTGAGAACAGCGTGGGCCGCGCTGAAGCATCGGGCTCCCTCAGTGTTCATGGTGAGGGCCTGCCTGGGCTGCCAGAAGCAGGGATGAAATGAGGGACCAAGGAGGATGGGGTTAGGAGGAGAATGGGGGGACAAAGGACAAAATGGGAGATATGATGGTGGTGGTGGGGTGCCTCTTGACACTTCTAGGAGAGAAAGGAGGTGAGAGCAAGAGATGGATATCTGCTTTTACTTAAGCCAAGCTTGGGCTTCTCTCTCCTGTTCCCTCAGTCTCCCTTCTGAGTACTCTGACTCCCTGTTCCTTTATGCCCCTCCCCCTTCCCAGTCCCTCCCCAGCTGGTGACCCAGCCCCGGGACCAGATGGCAGCTCCTGGAGAGAGCGTGGCTTTCCAATGCGAGACCAAAGGGAACCCCCCACCTGCCATCTTCTGGCAGAAGGAGGGAAGTCAAGTAGGTGGCCAGCTGCGGGGTGGGCCTTCCCACAATCTTCTCCTCTGGGTCTTAGCCTCCCTCCTTCTATATTCCCTGCAAACTTCTCTCTGTTTTACGTTTGGTCCTCCCAGAAACCCTGGCAAGTTATTTGGGTGGGTCTAATGAGATAATGAATAAAAAAGGCCTAGAGCATACTGAACACTTAAAAAAATAATATGTTTAGGTGAAAGGAAATAGTCCTGTATGGTAATTCCTTGGAGAATCCTTCTATTTTAGGCAAGGCTGTCCTGAAGATGTAGCAAATCCACTTCGATCCCTTCTCTCCCAGACAGCTGGGGCCTGGGCTTTAATATGCTGGTCTGGAAAGTGTGGACTGTACCAAAGCTGCTCAGGGTACAGCATTACTTGCTCATCTGTTTACAAGGGACTTCCATCAGGGGGAGCTCACAGGCACCCCTCTCCAGCCTTAGCCAACAAACTGCTGAATACACAACAGGAAGAATATTAACTGAAGTTACAACATGAGTAGTGCCCACTAGGGGAAAGGTGGGCATTTTTGCTCCTAGGAAACAGGGTCAGTAGAATAAAATAAGTCTTCCTAACTCCACCCCCGTGGAAAAGCAGCTCTCCCACTACCTCATTTCAAATCCACAGCCACGATTTTCCAACATCTTCTCTAGCATCTGGGATTGCTGTATTTTAACTAGATTCTTTTTTTTTAATGTTTTATTTATTTCTAGGAGAGAGAGAGAGAGAGAGAGAGAGAGAGAGAGACAGCATGAGCAGGTGAGGGTCAGAGAGATTGTGTTACATATTCTGAAACAGGCTCCAGGCTCTGAGCTGGCAGTCAGCACAGAGCCCGACGCGGGGCTCGAACCCACGAACCGCGAGATCATGACCTGAGCGAAAGTCGGACGCTTAACCGACTAAGCCACCCAGGCGCCCCTTAACTAGATTCTTAAATGAATAAAAATGCTGGTGGTAGTAGAGGGTGGGAGTAGCTATCCATCAGGAGATCAGCCTGGTGCCATTTACCTGTGACCCAACCACCTTCCCTACCTTCCATGCATCTACATAACATAAAATGTTAAAGCCAGAAAGAAGAGGAAAGTATTTGACATTTATCATGCAATGTATTAAGCGATTTTCATAATGGTGACTCATTTAATCGTCATGACTATCCTCTAAGAGACAAATGTGTAGAAATTGGGGCCCATGAAGGTTAAATAGCTTGCTCAGAGCTTCCCAACTAGTAATCACAGAGCTGGGAAGTGCACCCCAAAATCATCTAATAGAATTTCCACATTTTTGTGAGCTGATCTAACTAGTTTGCCCAAGGTCATATAACTGGCTGGGGACCGAGTATGAATGAACTAGAACCTTAGGGATTCTCTGAACTCTGGGGTTTGATGGGAATGGGATCTTTCTGCCAGCTGCCTGTTCATTCCCTATCTTGGCTCCTTGCTTTGCCCACAGGTCCTGCTCTTCCCCAATCAACCACTTCAGCCCAAGGGGCGCTTCTCAGTCTCTCCCAGAGGCCATCTCAACATCACTGATGTGCAGAGTGGGGACGCCGGCTACTACGTGTGTCAGGCTGTTAGTGTGGCTGGCAGCGTCCTGGCCAAGGCCCAGCTGGAGGTGAAAGGAGGTAGGTACTCATGGATATAGGCCTGGACTTGGGCCAGGAAGGAAATAATGGCTTAAAGACACCTTTTTTTCTTGGATTTTATACAATATGTCTGCAAGGGGAGAGGCCTGAGACATGGCCTTGAAGTTTGGAAATCAGCTACGGAAGCCAGTAATAGATGGCTGGTTCGAGGCAGGGACTACAGATGGTTACCGAAGCCCATCCAGTCTCCAGGGGAAGGAGGGCTGAAGGAGCAGAGAAGGAGGATAAGGGGCTGGTTTCCTGAACCCAGGATCCTCTCCTAAGGTGCCCAAGTTCTTCCTCTTTCAGCCTCCTTCTTGGACGGGCTGCCTCCCATCATCCTCCAGGGACCAGCCAATCAGACGCTGGCACTTGGCTCCTCTGTGTGGCTGCCATGCAGAGTGACTGGGAACCCTCAACCTAGCATCCAGTGGAAGAAGGATGGGCAGTGGCTGCAGGGGGGTGACCTCCAGCTCAACCTAATGGCCAATGGTACCCTGTACATCGCCAGGGTGCAGGTGAGTCTCACCCCTGGGCTCTGGCTCTGAGTAACTGAGAATGGCCACGCAGTCCACACGCCCAAATCTCGGAAGTACCCTCTGGGACTGACTCCACTGCCACTCCTCTGCTTAGACCGCCCAAAGAGTACAATGCCCTCCCCACCCTTCTGTACACCCACCACCGTCCCCTCGTCCTACCTTGATCCACTCTGTTTGCCAGTCCTCTACTCTCTCCTGCAGGAGATGGACATGGGTTTCTACAGCTGTGTGGCCAAGAGCTCTGCAGGGGAGGCCACATGGAGTAGCTGGCTTAGGAGGCGGGGTGAGTTTTGTTTGTCCCTTTGCTTTGCCAGCCCCTTCATCCTTGCTTCCAAGGTAGTCAGTACCTCGCGATCCCCAGGACTGATTTATCTTCCAAATGCCATGGCCATGGTGGTGGTGAGGAGCTTGACACAAGTGATGCCCTTGGGAGGCAGACGTGAGCGTGGGTCAGTTTACTAACCACGCCCCCCTCTCCACCGTTACCGCTGCCACGGCTCCACAGCTTCTCTGGGAAGAAGGCGGGTGACAGGGGCCCATCCCTTTCCCATCCTTCTACTTAACAATTATCTCTTCACTGCAGAAGACTGGGGAGTCTCATCAGAGCCCCCTACAGAGCCCAGTACCCCCCCAGGGCCTCCCTCTCGGCCACTGGTCACTGAGATCACCAAGAACAGCATTACCCTGACCTGGAAGCCCAACCTGCAGGCGGGGGCCACGGTCACCTCTTATGTGATAGAAGCCTTCAGGTACGGAGAAAGTTTTGAATGCAACACTGGAAAGTTGAAAGAAGGGAATCTTAAGTCCTCAGGGTCTTTGCTATGGTGGAGAGAGTTTTGCCAGTTCCCTCTCCCAGGGGCAGGAGACAGTAGGGGACCATAGAGAACGGAGGAGAGGGAGTAGACAGTTTGGGGGTCCCCGAGCACAGACAACTCTGTCGCCCCATTCCTGTTGCAGCCAAGCAGCTGGCAATACGTGGCGGACAGTGGCAGATGGTGTGCAGCTGGAGACGCACACTGTCAGCGGTCTGCAGCCCAACACCATCTATCTGTTCCTGGTACGAGCTGTGGGAGCCTGGGGCCTCAGTGAGCCCAGCCCCGTTTCTGAGCCTGTCCGCACCCGGGGTGAGTAGGGCCAGAGTCCCTGGCTCATGGCTATGACGTGAAACGCTGCAGAGCTTGCCTCCCGCCAAACCATGGGAGCAGGGCCGCTCCCTCCTGCTGTGTCAGATCTCTACTGCGGCCCAGCTTGAAGTAGGTCAGGCCTCCCTTGCATCTAGGGAACAAGAGAAGAGGGGAGAGAGGGAAATTGAGTCATCCTGGTGGCCCTGCACTTCTGAGCCTTTTACCCACAGATAACATAGCTTATGAGGACTCGAAGGGACCTTGGAGAGTTCATCTTCATGTTAGAGATGAGGAACTGAGGTCTTTCAAGGCGACATATATGGTTATGCAGAAAGTAGATTCACATTAGCTGGCCCACCATTCACACCCAGGCCCACCTCTGGAAGCCATTCCCCTGACCGGCCCCCTCCTGATGCCAGGCTGTGCTCTGGAGTACTGAGGACAGTCTGTGGGGACAGGGAAGAGGTAGGATGGACACAAGCACACTTTCAGTCTGACTCTGTCCTTGGCGGCTCCTGCTGAGGGGGGCCTTTTGGTCAACAGACAGCAACCCATCCAGGCCAGTGGAGGACCCATGGAGAGGCCAGCGGGGACTGGCTGAAGTGGCCGTGCGTATGCAGGAGCCCACAGTCCTTGGGCCCCGGACCTTGCAGGTGTCCTGGACTGTGAGTAGGGCATGGGGATGAGGTTAAGGGCAGGGATGATGATGGGGGCTGTAGGGATCTCCAAGAATGGGTACGGGAGAGTGGGAAGTGAGGGGCTGGGGAGGACAAGGTGAGTGGAGGAGGGACAGGACCTAGAGGACTTGTATGGCCCTTGCCGCTCCTGGTATGCTTTGTCCTGTCTCCTATAGGTAGATGGCCCAGTCCAGCTGGTGCAAGGTTTCCGAGTGTCTTGGAGGGTAGCAGGCCCTGATGGGGGACTCTGGACAGTACTGGACCTACAGTCCCCAAGCCAGCAAAGTACTGTGCTAAGAGGACTCCCCCCAGGGACCCAAATTCAGATCAAGGTGCAAGCACAAGGCCAGGAGGGGCTGGGGCCCGAAAGTCCCTTTGTGACCAGAAGCATTCCTGAGGAGGGTAAGGGAGGTGTTGCACAAAGCTGATGAACAGACAACAGGAAATAGGGAGTGGGGGAGGATAAAGGTGTGCAGGGGAAGAGCAAGGGGACTTGTGGGAAGAAGGGATACCTCCATTCCCTATGGTGTCAGACCTGGGAGGGGGCAGGTTGGGGCAGGGAGGGTGGCTGGCATGACTGTGTCTTTCTCACTATGCTCCACCTTGGCCCAGCCCCCAGTGGTCCCCCCCAGGGAGTGACAGTCACCCTGGGGGGTGAAGGCAACAGCAGTGTCACAGTGTCCTGGGAACCTCCACTCCCTTCCCAGCAAAATGGGGTCATCAAGGAATACCAGGTACAGGGTTCAAGAAGCGACTGCAGACGGGAGGGAGAGGGAGGACCTAGGGGCTAGGGTTAGGGAGAAGGAAACCCAGGACTGGCTTTGGGGTTGAAGATGAGATTGGAGGAAAGGAAAGAGGTTTCAGAGTATTCCCTCTGGGGCCGAACGATGCCTGGCTAAGCCCCCTCTACCATTCAGAGCGTCAAGTCTCCACGTGAGGCCCGATCCCATTTCAGACTCTCCAAACCTGGGTCTCGCCTCCCCAGATCTGGTGCCTGGGCAATGACAGCCGCTTCCACCTCAACCGGTCTGCGGCAGGCTGGGCACGCTCCGCGGTGCTGCGGGGACTGCTGCCCGGTGTTCTCTACCGGACCCAGGTCGCGGCGGCCACCAGCGTGGGCGTGGGCGTGGCCAGTGCCCCGGTGTCGGTGCAACTGCGTGAGTCCGGGGGTGGGGGTGGGCAGGCCGCGCCGGGGAACTGAAGTGGCGTCCTAGGGTAGCTGTGCCTGCGGGGTCAGGGACGACCCCTTCCTCGCTCCCGGTTTTCCAGGCCCCTCGTCCCCTCACCTCTCTGACCCCCACAGCTTCCCCGCCGGGACTGGAGCCCGGGCTCGAGGTGGGCCCGGGGCTGGCGGAGCGGCTGGCGAGGGTGCTGCGGGAGCCTGCCTTCCTCTCGGGCAGCGGGGCCGCGTGCGGGGCGCTGCTGCTCGGGCTCTGCGGCGTCCTCTACCGGCGCCGGAGGCAGCGCAAGGAGCTCAGTCACTACACTGGTGAGCCGGGCCTGTGGGGCGGCGCGGGCAGAGGGGCGCACTTGGGCGTTGGGAAGATCCACAGGAGGGCTTCGGGGTGGGCGGGGCCTGGAGATCCAGAGCCCCGACCCCCGACCCTCTCACCCCTCAGGGAGGGAGGCAGGCGGGACCGGAGGGGCTCACCGCTCGGTGAGTGGGGGCAGGGTCAGAAGGGGGGGTCGCCCCCACAGCTAGGCCCCTTGCAGAGGGGCAGGGTACGTAAAGGTGGGGCAGGGAGCCAACGCAACGCCGGGAACGGGCGGGGTCCGAAGGGGACCGGACCAAAGTCTGGGGAGAGGGGTAAAATCTTCCCCTAAGATCCCTCTATAGGAGTTCGGGCTTTGCCATCAGCCTCTGTATAGAAGGGGCAGTTCTGGAGAGGGGGAAAACTCACTTCCGGAAGGGCGGGCCCTGGCGGCAGGTGGGTGGCCAGGATCCTGGAGGTTAAATTGTGGGGCGGGGTCTGGGTGGGTGGAAAGGTGGGGCCCGCTGAAAGGGGCTACTCGATTTCTGCTGCGTCCTGGTAATCTCTGGAGAGATTCTGAGGTCTTTTAGGTCAGGGGGCCCCAATCTTGGCTACACATAGGAATCACTTGGGAACTTTAGAAAAATACTGATGCTTGAGTCCCACTCCTAGAAATTCTGATGAAATTGGTCCAGGGTACAGGCTGAGTGGTGGAATTGGGACCAGGGCCAAGAAGGGGACAAGAATGTGAGTATTTCTGACCCTTTCTCCATTTACCCTCCTTCTTCTCCCATGGATTCCTTTTCGGAAGCTTCCTTTGCCTACACACCTGCAGGTAAGCTATCTCTGCTCTAGTGGGGTTCAGACCCCAAGTACGGGCCCTTCTCTCACTCAGTGCCCCCCTCCTCTTCCCCAGTGTCCTTCCCACACTCAGAGGGCCTTTCTGGAGCCAGTTCCAGGTAATCCTCTTAATTCATCTCTCAAGGATAATCCCCTCCATCAAGAGACTATTCTCCTTCCAACCCAGGCCTCCGTGCCTCCCCATGGTGTCTCCCACCTGTCACCCCCCCAATTCACCATCACTGCCCTACAACTCCTGGTTACCCTTACATTTGCTGGCCTGTTGGGGCTCTGGGTCCCCAGTGTTCCACGTGCTTTCCCTCAGGCCACCCATGGGCCTTGGCCCCGCCCCCTACCCATGGCTCGCAGACTCGTGGCCCCACCCATCTCGAAGCCCCTCAGCCCAGGAGCCCAGGGGAAGCTGCTGCCCCAGCAATCCTGACCCAGACGACAGATACTACAATGGTGAGGAGTTCTAATTCTCTCAGGGGCACACCTGCCCCCAACACCCTTCTCTCCTCTCAACCTACTGGGGCAAACTGAAGGGAGCCGAGGATTGCCAGTCTTCCCGAGGTTGGTCAGTCCTTGGGGAGGATATGAATTGGGGGAGCTTCGCTCCTGCCTAACCTTCACCCTGGTTTGGGAAGTAAGGTTTGGGTGGGGGGAGAAGTTGTTCCGGCGGGAACTCCTTTTGCCCTCCATTCTCCTGTTGTCCGCTATTTTTCTGTCTCCGCCCCCTGCCCCTTGCCTCTCCCCCTGGCCTCCCTCTCTCTCCTCCTCAGAAGCGGGAATCTCCCTGTACCTGGCTCAGACGGCCCGGGGCACCGCCGCCCCTACTGAGGGTCCTGTCTACAGCACCATCGACCCAGCTGGGGAGGAGCTGCAGACCTTCCACGGGGGGTTCCCCCCAAATCCCTCAGGGGATCCAGGCACCTGGAGCCAGTATGCTCCTCCAGAATGGAGCCAGGGGGACAGCGGTATGACTCTAGCTCCTAACACCCCCATTTTAGCTCTGAGCAGAGTATCCCCAAAGGATATCCTCTCCCCTTCCCCTCTGGCACCTAGCCCAGCATTTTCTTCTGACATTTCTCTCTGCCTCTTACCTCAGTGTGTCCCCCTCCCTTCTCAGGAGCCAGGGGAGGCAAAGTAAAGCTTCTGGGAAAGCCTGTGCAGATGCCCTCTCTCAACTGGCCAGAAGCCCTGCCTCCACCTCCCCCTTCCTGTGAACTGAGCTGCCTCGAGGGGCCTGAGGAGGAGCTGGAGGGCGGGTAAGGATGCACCCTGCTGCAGATGCCCTATACAGATGGGACCGAAGGGCCTCCTGCAGGGGGAGGGCAGGTGTGCCGGGAGAGTGAGGGAAGAGGGCAACAGGAAGGTATGGAAGGTATGGAAGCTACTCAGTCACTCCTATTTGCCCCCAGCTCAGAGCCAGAAGAGTGGTGTCCACCAATGCCTGAGAGAAGCCACCTGGCAGAGCCCAGCTCCAGTGGAGGGTGCTTGGTCCCTCCATCCCAAGGGGAAGCCCCGTCTCCCACATCTTCCTATGGACAGCAGTCCACGGCCACTCTTACCCCCTCACCTCCTGACCCTCCCCAGCCCCCCACTGACATCCCCCATCTCCACCAGATGCCCAGGTAGGGAGGTATATAATGTCTTGCACATTATAGGCCCTGGGTACATACCTATTGAGTGGATGATTGGATGGATAGATGAATGGATGGATGGGTGAATCTGGGGCACAGAGGTCTCATGGCCACGTCAGAGTGTGCGATTTGGAAGGAACGGGGAGGCTGGCAATGTCTCTCACTCCCTTCAGACTGTTTCTCCACTGGAGTGGTTCTGCAAGCTTTTCAAGCATTTCAAAGACATGGCTCTCTTCACACTTCACTAGCTGGGGAACCTTGTTGGGAGCAGGCTGTGCCTTATTCAGCTGAGTGCCTAGCACAGTGCCTGGCACGTAGTCAGCACTTGGTGTCTGTCCAGTGAACAAATGCTGAGGCCTCATGTCATTGCAGGAGGGTGCCCCTTGGGCCAAGTTCCCCTCTCAGTGTATCCCAGCCCACTCTGAGTAGCCATGAAGGGAGGCCTGCTGGCCTGGGTGCTGGAGCCACAGCCTCCCATCACCTCAGCCCCAGCCCTGTCCCTAGCACAGCCAGCAGTGCCCCAGGTGAGTCTGCAGAAGCCTTAACCCGTCCCCACCTCTCCATACCCTTCTGAAGCTTCCTTCTTCTTCACCCTGAAGCCTGTTTCCCGATCCTCTGTCTTACTGGCTCTTCAGGGAGAACCCGGCAGGTGCCTGGGGAGATGACTCCTCCACTTCAAGCGCCCCGTGCCCGAACCCGGAAACCCAAGGCTGTTCCCTACCGACGGGAGCACAGTCCTGGGGGTGAGGGTGCCGTGGGCCTGAGAGATGGTGAAAGTAGGGGGAACAGGCAGGAAACCAAGGGTGAGCTCTGCTCGGGTGGGGGGTGGTGCTGGAGGAGGAAGCAGGTGAACCCAAATCTTGGGCTGCTCAGTCGTAGCCTCCTGGTGCCAGGGAGTAGGAGTGGGAGGAAGACTGGTGTGGGGAGGAGCGGGAGGCTCTGCTGAAGACAGGTCTCTCCCCAGACTTGCCCCCGCCACCCTTGCCGCCACCAGAGGAAGAGGCAAGCTGGGCCTTAGGGCTGAGGGGAGCAGGCAGCACATCCTCCTTGGAAAGGGAACGGGAGCGCAGCAGGGAGAGGAGGATGGTGCAGGTCGGGCCCCTGGGGCCCCAGCGGGGTCCTCACCTGGATGGTAAGGACGGCCAGGGAAGGCCAGAGGGTCACTGTACACAAGAAGGGGGGGGGGGGCTGAAGGCTAATAGTGTAGTACAGCCATGAAGGACTGATGTTCACCCCAGCTCACCCCTCATCTGCAGTGGGTTTGTGTGCTTGATCCAAACCTATGCATGTCTCTGTAGCGCTCTCTGGGACACATGCCCTCAAGTTCCCAAGCTGTATAAATCCCAGGACTGAAGCCCAGACGAGACAAGAGTGGGGCTGGGTGTTTTGTCTTTCCTTTCCCGAGGCTCTCTCTGTCCAGGAGCTCCCTCTGGGTTTCTGAGTGGGTGTTATGTCAAGGCCACGTGCTGGGCGGTGTGTCTCCTCAGCCCCCACCACGGCCTGAGCCGTCTGTACTCACCCTCCACTCTCCTTCTAGAGCTGGAATTGCGGTCAGTGGGGCGCAGTGGGCGAACAGTGATGTTCTGCTCTCCGCCCCGGCCTGGTGGCCCTTCTCTCTTGTGCTGCAGAAGAAGCCTGGCTCCCTTACAGCCGACCCAGCTTCCTGTCCCGGGGCCAGGGCACCAGTACCTGTTCCACAGCTGGCAGCAACTCCTCCAGAGGCTCCGGCAGCTCTCGAGGCTCCCGGGGCCCTGGCCGGAGCCGGAGCCGGAGCCAAAGGCCAGGACAGAAACGTGGACAGGTGGGGGCTGGGGTAGGCAAACAATGGGAGACTACAACTAGGCCAGGCGAGCCAAGGGGTGAGTGGAAGCAGGAGAGAAGGGCTGTCTGAGCAAGTGTCAAAAAGGAGGGGACCCAGTGGGTGAGGGGGAAGGGAGGGGTCATGGAGAATAGGTAACAAAGGGTGAAGACAAGGTGATAAGTGGAGGAGCCTGGGCTCCCCAGAGGAGAGTGGGTTCAGGAGAAGGGCTGAGGAGAAGAGGCATGTTCCCTCCTATAGTCTGTTTGCCCGGGCCTACGGCCTTGCAAACTAGCCTCTTTCTCTCTCTAGGAGCCAAGATGACCCTGGATGAGGAAGGATATCAGGAGTTCCATGGGGAAGGGCTTGTCCCTGGGCTGGGAGCCTTGGATGGGAGCCTCTCCCCCTGGTAAATGGGGGTGAGCAGAGAGGAGCAGGGGTGCCCTCTTTCCTCCTGGCAATGATGCTTAAAAGCCAGAGAGCCAGCTCTTCCCTTCCCGCCTCTTTCTACCTGAAACTCATCTGTAAAAGGGACAAATAAAGAGTCTGATCAGAGCCCTGAGCCCTGCTTGTCTGGTTTCATGCGGGACGTGGGGAAGAAAGGGGCTGTGAAACAGTGTAGATCAAAGCACTCCCTTGAAGTTCTCCTGTCAAAAGCACCAGCTGAGGACAGGGGCTAAGAGATGCTGGCCTGGCCTGCCTCCTGAAAGAGCTGAAGCCCCCTCTCTCCCCAGTTAAAACCAGAGGCACTTGGGGACGCCTGGGTGGCTCAGTCGGTTAAGCGTCCGACTTCAGCTCAGGTCAGAATCTTGCGGTTTGAGTTTGAGCCCCATGTTGGGCTCTGTGCTTACAGCTCAGAGCCTGGATCCTCTTTCAGATTCTGTGTTTCCCCCTCTCTCTGCCCTTCCCATGCTCATGCTCTGTCTCTCTCAATAATAAATAAAATATTTAAATAAAAAAACAACCAGAGGGACTTTCCAAATAACCAGCAATGAGAAATTTGTCCCATCTTCAGACAGCCAAGCCAGGCCCTTGGCACCCTCCTCTGGGGTCTATCTCCTCTCTTGCCCCTCACAATAATAATGGAAAGGAGTTAATGGGGGAAACCCCAGCCAAGAAGGAAAAACAGCCTTTTTTCAGGCTCCCCAACCCCCCTCAACAGAGGGTGTATGCAAACAGATACCTCTTGGCCAGACGAGGCCCCGATATGATGGGTTTGGCTGACGACATAGGATTTTTTTAAATGTTGGCTCTGAATGCCGTAATGCCCATTGCTCCCTCACCCACAGCCCATTCCACTCGCTGGTTTTCTGCGGTTTGTTTCCTTCTCATTTCTTTGCCCCCAGGCTCAGGAACTGCTCTGGGCTCTCAGGGAATGGCCACTACCCCTCCCACCCCCCCACCCTCATTCCCCTAAACTAGGCCTGTGACCTCTCCTGCCCCTATGACCTAAGTGTGCACAAATCTCTTTTTTCTCCTTTGGACTGGCCAACAGGGTTGGAATGTTTTCAAAAGGAATTTTACCAGGAAGCTAAAAGAAAAACAAAATCCAAAAAAGGAAAAGCAAACAGAGAGGAACGGATATGTATCCGGAGCACTGATTTCTCATCCTGAGATGATGACATTCCAGTCCAGACCGGCTGGTTTAAGGGAGTTCAGGCAGCACCAAGTCCCCCAGGCCCTGCCTCACTCAGCCTCTGAGCTCAGAGTGGCCTCCGGGTAGGTAGAGCCACCCTGGTTTGGGGGGATTATCACCCCCTGTGAGGGCCTGCTTCCTGATCGGCCCTCCCTGAGGATGTCCTCAGGTGGCCCCGGTCACGTTCAGGAGCACCACGCCCTGCAGCTTGTGTGTCCTGCCCTGCCTTTCCCACCAAGTTAGAAACAAGACGTGGCGCCACCTGCCCGGCTTTCTGTGGCTCGGGCTTGGCGGTCCTGCTCCATTTCTCTGTTCTGTTGTTTTGTCTGAAGGGGGCTCACCAGCCCACCATTACAGGTGGTTCTACCTTTTGTGGAATTTAGTTACTTTGTCTATTTTAAGAAAACGCCTGGTCTTAACCATCCAGGACTGGTCTCTGGGGAGGGGGCGCTGGGACTGCTGAGAGCAGGACCAGTTGCTAAGACCAGCAGCCCGAGGGAAAATCCGATGGACGCGTGTCGTTCTTCCCTCAATTACAGAACAGAAATAAGTGACATGCCCTGAGTGCCGATGAATGCTCAGTTCTGTTCTAACTCAGAATTCTTCCCGTACCTCCGGGTACCCTCCCCAGAAATGGTGCTCTGGGGGGTGATCTCACCGAACTCAAGTCATTTCAGTTTAATGGTATCAATTTGTCAAGCTCATAGAGTCCACAGTATCAAGAAGGTGTTTGGTCCCACATTTTCCCACCTCCCTTCCTTTTGCTCCCTCCCTAGGTCCATCCTGGACCCTCTGCCTTGGTACCAAGGTTGGGCTTCACTGGGTTTTCCTCCATCCTTCCTTCATGGGGTGTGGCTGGGGAGAGGCGAGCTTGCCTACATAGGAATGGTGGCTTCCCAAGAGGCATGGGCTCTGTAAAGCTCCTTCCCAACCAGCCTGTCCCACAAGTTGTCCTCCGGGAAGATCTCTGGCCCTCTCGCTTCCAGTGATCCGACTGGGTGGGGAGATCAGGAAAGAAGGCTGCTTCTCAGGCCTGGAGACCCAGTTGTGGGATGGAGCGAGCAGAGGAGAAAGCAAGGGGTGGGGGTAAGGTGGAGATGACTTTGCTCCCTGCAGGCTCCAGGTCTGCTTTGCTCTTACTTTGTTTTGCTTTCATTTGTTCTCACAATCCCGAGAGGAGAACTGTCCTGGGGGCCAGGCAAGGTCATTCCCCAACTGCAGAGATCTGTGGAGAACTACAGGCCAAGACTGAAACTCCACAGCGGGGTGGTTTTGATTCTCTTCTTGGCCATCTCTTGTCTGGAAGCACTTCATGAGGAGGCTTCAGGGAAGTTGAAGGAGAGTGGAGTTACCTTCATCTCACCTTTCCAACCCCAGAGCTCCCCTCTAGGCTCCTCCCCAGAATCCCTCCAAGAGTTAGGCAGACAGGCACTTACTGCCGGCCTTGGGCTCAGGACTGCTGAGCTGACTTCTTCGAGAAGAGATCCGAGAGTCGGGGGGCCAGGGAGGCAGCCCCCTTCCCAGTCGCTGGCTGTGGTTCCCCATGTCCTCCAACCAGTCTGACCTCCACTCCCACAGGGGCAGGGAGAGGGTGGGGGTCAGGAAGAGGTCATCCCGCGGGGAGGGAGGTGAGGAGGCATCTGTCAGGGAGGGTAGATTTATTTGTGAAGGGCTGGCCTTCACTCTGAGGGACCAGTTTAGGGCAGAATGTTTAGAACCTGCATAAGGCATATATCCAACCCGGAAGATAAACTAGCCCCAACTCGGCCCATCAATTCTGAGGGCAATTGGAATGAGTCCATTGGTTTCTTAGGGGGAATGGCTTGAACTGTTTCCTCCTAGCCCAGCTCTGGCCTTTGGACTTTTTAAGTTTGTTTATTTATTTTGAGACACAGAGACAGAGTGAGTGGGGGGAGGGGCAGAGGGAGAGGGAGACAGAGAATCCCAACCAGGCTCCACACTGTCCATGTGGGGCTCAAACCCAGGAAACCATGAGATCACGACCTGAGCCAAAACCAAGAGTCAGACGCTTAACCAACTGAGCCACCCAGGCACCCCCTTACCCCCATCTCTGGCCCTCCATCCATACTCTCTCCCTTTGCCCTCCTTCTCCTTGGGCATCTTTCTTCTCCCTCTGTTATGGGCACTTCTACCCTGGATTATCTTTGTTTTCCCATTTACCACAAGCCTGGTTGTTTTTCTTGGGGGCAAAGGGTAGAGTTAGGGTTCATAAGATGGGGATAGGGGATCTGACAGAGAGTATGAGGAAAGGGCACGGGGGGCCCTGAGCTACCTTCTGTTGCCATGGAGATAGTTGTCCCACTCTGGTAGACATGTGAAGGAGTGAGCCCCGCTTCTCTTTACCCCAGCCACAGACAGGGCAAGAGGAGGGGCTTACAAGCACAGTGGGAGGTAAGAGAGAAAACAGAACTTCCCATAGTGAGAATCTGAAACAGTGGGTTGGAGAAAATAGTAAATAGAAGAGGTGGGGAGCAATCTTTCCTGGTGATGGGTGTCTGGGTAAGACCAGGGACCTGGAGGGAGGGTAATACAACTGGCTGCCTCTGGGCTTTAGACTTGAACATTTTGACCTTGTTCTTGTGTGCAACCTTGGGCAAGTTAAAAAAAAAAAAAAACCGTGGGTGGCTCAGTGGGCTCAGGTCATGATTTCACAGTTCGTGGGTTCGAGCCCCGCATCAGGCTCTGTGCTGACAGCCAGCTCAGAGCCAGGAGCCTGTTTCAGATTCTGTGTCTCCCTCTCTCTTTGACCCTCCCCTGCTCACACTCTCTCTCTCTCTCTCTCAGAAATAAATAAAACATTAAAAAAAAAAAACACCTGTTTGACTTATAGTTCCCTCATTTGGAAACGAAAGATAAAGAATACTTTTCATAGAGTTGTTAATATTGAATGTATATAAAGCACTTATCATAGGGGCTGGGGCATAGTAATCATTCAATAAAATGAATTAGCTGTTTTAAGGATAACCACAAAGTCGATAATTGGGGGGAGCGTCGGTGGCTCAGTGGGTTTAGCATTCACCTCTTAATTCCAGCTCAAGTCACGGTCTCACAGTTGTGAGATCGAGCACCATGTCAGCCTCTGTGCTGACAGCACTGAGCCTGCTTGCACTTCTTTCTCTCCCTCTACCCCCCCCTCCCCCAAGGGTGTTCTCTTTCTCTCAAAATAAAGAAACAAACTTATAAAAAACAAAGACAATGATTAGGAAGACTTGCCTCCTGGTTGGGGAAAATGAAGGAGGGGTTCTTATAGGAGATGAATCCCTTCCAAGAGGTGGGAGTGAGGAGTAAGGCAGGGTGGGCTCACATACCTGTGAAGACGCAGTCGGCCTCCCTGGGCTCCAGACCAAAGCCAAAGCTGTCCACAGCCATTGCCAGGGCCCGGGCAAAGTGGGCATCAGCAAGGAAGGAGCCATCAGAGGAGCTGACGAGGCTGGCTCTGGCGCTGGGGGCGTTGTCCTCGGAGGCTGAGCCCCAGCCATTGGCCAAAGAGCCTTCGCTGGGGGTGGGGGTGGGGCAGGGCCGCGGTGGGCACAGCAAGCCCCTCACTTCGGACCCTACCCCTCCTCCGGCCCTGCCCATGTCTGCCAGCTCTGAGGCTGTCGGGATGCTGATGTAGCCGTAGGTGACAGGGGGTGAAGGAGCCCTTGGCATAGGAGACACACTATTCCTAGAAAAGGCAAGATGAGAGACAGTGCTGTGGTTGAGGTGGGTCCGCGGCACAGCAGAAACACTCCAGTTGAGATAAGCATTCTCCTGTTGTGTGTGTATCTGTAGTCCTTGGGTCATCCCTCAGGCAACTCACCTGGGGGTCTCCTCACCGTCACTGAGCTCCAGGCACAGGGCCACTTCCTCAGGAGTAAGTACACTGTCCTGATCCTCCCCCAGGGATGACAGCGAGGAGCTG